TGATGGTGAAATTAGGACATTTCCAGATAAGCAGAAATTAAGGGAATTTGTTAAAACCAGACCAACCTTTACAAGAGATGCTAAAGGGAGCCCTTTGGACAGAGAAGCAACAATAGCCAACAACAAATGACGATTAACACACATGATGATATAACCCAGAAACCAACCCAGCTATGGAAGTATCCAAAGTAATAGCCTCCAAGATTGTAAACAGGGAACCGGAGACACCAACCAACAAATGAAGACAACTACAAGCCAAAAAGAAGGAAAACTGTGTTGTTGCAGAACTTCTAGATGGTAGAGAAGTCAAGACAGCTACAAGATAGACTGTTCTAAACTTGGGAAGAAAACTGTAAATCACAGGGTAACCTCAAAGAAAAATAATAAACCTTCACATCAAAATGAAAAAGAGAACTAGCATAAATATTCAGCAATTACTAAAACAATAGCAATGAAGGAAGTGATAACATGATTCATAAACAAAATGAGCTCAGCATAGAAAATTATATGGAACAAAGAAATCAACACACTGAAAAAGCACATGACCAAAATGGCAGCAACAGATTCATATTTGCTGATAATTACATATCTGGCAAGGGACTTATCTCTAAGATTGATGGAAAACTCCAACGTCTCAACACCAAAGGAATTAACAGTCCAGTTGAAAAATGGGCAGAAGACACTTCAGCAAGGAGGATATTTAGGTGGCCAGCTAATTCATGAAAAGATGCTCACAATCATTGGCCATCAGAGAGATGTAAATCAAAACAACAATGAGATATACCATCTCACCCCAGCACTGATGGCAAGGTTCAATGAGACAGAAAATAACAAATGCTGGTGGGGATGTGGAGAGATTGGGACTCTCATACACTGCTTGTGTGACTGTGAAGTGACACAACCACTGTGGAAAGCAATATGGCCATTCTTTAGAAAGTTGGAATTGGAGATACCATTTGACCCAGCAATCCCATCGCTAGGTATATATCCTAGAGAGGTGAGAGCCAGGATAAGAACAGATACATGTATGCTCATGTTCATCACAGCACTATTTACAATAGCAAAAAGGTGGAAACAACCTATGTGCCCATCAGCGGAAGAGTAGATGACCAAACTATGGTACATGCACATACTGGCATGCTATGTAGCACTAAAGAATAATGTAGTGTCTGCAAAACACCACATAATATGGATGAACTTGGAGGACATTATGCTGAGTGAAAGAAATCAGTCACAGAAGGACAAATATAGTGTTGGTTCGTTGTTGTGGAGGGTCAAGGAAAGGTTTATATATGGAGGGAAACTTTCTTTGTTGGTTGCCAGGGGTGGGAGGGGAGGGGAGGGAACACTGCAAAAAAAAAAAAAAAAAAAAAAGCATTGATCCATGTCACTTTAGTTTTGTGTATTTCACTGTACATAAATTATATTTTAATAAAATGCATTTTTTTTAAAAAAAGATTATTTAGAAACATCAAGCTCACTCACAATTAACCAAACATTTATTTAGGGTCTACTAGGTAGTCGGGACTGACTCGACGGCACATAACAACAACAGATATCAGACTACGCAAAAGCATGTGATTGTGTGGATACTAACAAATTATGCATAACATTAAGAAGAATGGATATTCCAGAACACTTAATTGTGCTCACAAGGAACCTGTACATAGACTAGGAGGCTGTCATTCGAACAGAATAAGGGAATACTGTATGGTTTAAAATCAGGAAGGGAGTGTGTCATATTTGCCATATTTATTCCATCTGTATGCAGAGCAAATAATCTGAGAAGCTGGACTATATGAAGAAGAATGTGGTGTCAGGATTGCAGGAAGACTCATTAACAACCTGCGATATGCAGACGACACAACCTTGCTTGCTGAAAATGAAGATTACTTGAAACATATACTGATGAAGAAGACTACAGTCTGCAGTGTGGATTATACCTCAACATAAAGAAAATAAAACTCCTCACAACTGGACCAATAAGCAGCATCATGATAAATGGAGAAAAGATTGAAGTTGTCAGAGGTTTCATATTACTTGGTTGGACAATCAACACCAGTGGAAGGAGCAATCAGGACATCAGAGGATGTATTGCACTGCGCAGATCTGCTATAAAGTGGGGGAACGCAGGGAGGAAATGGGAAGAGTGCTGTTACATTGAGGGGATTTGAACCAGTGTCACAACATAAAATGTATATAAATTGTTGAATGGAAAACTAATTTACTCTGTTAACTTTCATCCAAATTATAATAAACACTTAAAAAAAATCCTAATAATTGTTTTGAACTAAACATTGAAGCACCGTAGGAAATTCCGACTTTTTTTGGTTCCATATTACGATCAAGGATCATTTCCTTACATTTTCATTTTTTCATAGGAAGAGAAAACTGGTCAGAAGCCATCCGAAGCCAAAGAGATAAAGCTTTATGCGCAGATTCCCCCTATAGAGAAGATGGATGCATCCTTGTCCACACTTGCTAATTGCGAGTAAGCACGCATCTTTTTTTCATTCTTCTTTTGCTGGTAGGAAGTATTGCTAGTAGGAAGCTATTTCCCTTCCTTTTTCTTAAGACAGGAATTTAAAAAATAGGTTTTGTTTATCTAAGATCTTCATTTATTTTTTATCTGCTAATGTAATTCTCCCTTGGACAACGGGAAGACAAAAATGAAAGGATTAATGGTTTATAGGATTAGTAATAGAGTAACTCTGAATGTTACAGTTTTTTTTTCCATATAGTACCATTTTTATGTGTCTTGAGTGTCATCTGCCTTGAAAATAAAAACCTTCTGGTCTCTTGGGAGAAGCTGTATGATACAAGAAAACAATTACCAGTAATAACATCTATTGCTTTATCTTGTAAGATTATTCACCAAAATCAGTACTATACTTACTTACTAGGTACCTCAGAGATACTCCTTTTTAAGAAAAACGTTTCAGGTTATAAAAATACATTGTAATGCGATTGCTGTTGCTGTTCTGTGCCATCTAGTGGGGTCCCAACTCATAACAACTCAGTGGCATCTTGATGGGAGTTGATTGCCCTGTCTTTTCTCCCTCAGATTGGCTGGTGGGTTCAAACCACTGACCTTTCAGTTAGCAGCCTAGCACTTAACCAATTGAGCCACTAGGCTTTTTGAAATACATTTAGATAATATAACAAGTACAAAGAAAAAGAATTTATATCAACCTAAATTGTATTCCTTATGAGAACCAAGTAATACCAGTTGGAGCCTTTTTTTTTTAAATTTTATTTTAATCAGGATCAATTTACATTTATTATTTAAAACTCTGTTTTCCCATAACTTTAAGTATGATATCTATCTTAATACATTTAAATTTGTTTTCTAAGTATGCTATTGCAGTATAATATCAGAGCTTTCTTTTTTTGTTTTTTGTTTTTAAGTATGCTATAGTGTTTACAGGAATCTGGACTAGTTTGAGGGAATTCTACCAGGACACCTTCACTTTGCTTTCAAACTGCAATGTCTTTTGACAGGATTGTAGAATTACTAGGTGTTATTTCTGACTCCTTCACTCTACTCTTGTCTTTTTCTAAGCCTGGTTCCCTAATCACCTGCAGAAGAATCTCCTTATGCTGGAAATAAGCCTCACCCTAAATTTATAGAAACAGAATCTTTTGTTAAAACCTAGTAATCTATATTTATAAGAAGTTCCTTGAGTGTTTCTTACATACATATTTGTGAACCCTTTTTAGAATAATAAATCTTTGGGATTAAAGGGAAACGCAAAAATACTTAGTTATTAGCTTGTTCTGTGTGAAGAGAACACAAGGTGTCACATAAAAATCCGTAGGATGCTTTTTTGGTTTATAGCATGGTTTCAAATTGACCAAATATCTTTTTATCATAGAGCAATCTCAAGGTAAACAATTGAAAAGGTTTAGTACCCTCTACCAAAGTACTTCAGAAACTGCTTAGAAAGTGTCAACCTGTTCATATTTTTATGACAGTCTCTTTTACAGAGTTTTACTCTGTCATGTGGTGTTATGATTAGTTGGAATTGACTCAATAGCACACAACAGTCTAAACACATACTAAAGAATTATTCCGCAGCCGTGTTCTCAGAGTTAAGGCACTCCATTTTTAATGGCAGTTCTCAAGAATGAGCGATGAGTAGAAAATATATGGATTTAACCAATAATTTATGCTGTATAGTAATTAGTTTTGCTGTTTCAAGCAGGAAGAAAAAATAAACAATTCCTCTTTGAGTCTTGTCATAAAATGTAAGATCACAGGTTTTGGAATCAGACTTACCTAGGTTTTACTTCCAGCTTTGCATCTTTCTGACTGTGTTGATACTGAGCAATTGCTTACCATCATTGTGCTTTCGTTCCCTCACTTGTAAAATGTGGGAAATAATAATACTTATAGCATTGTTGTGATGGTTAGAAGTTAATATATGTAAAGGACTTAAAAGAGTACTGGGCATGCATTACGTGTTCAATAAAAGTTACCTTTTATTATACTTCTGCATTAAATTTACTAAGATACTAAACTTTTTGACCAAGAAAAGAATATTAAGAATGTTTAATTATGTGCCCTTTACATTTTTATGTAATACATAGAAAAAGTTAGAAAAATATATATGACTTATTAAAAGTAGCTTTCTCTGGGAGAATGTGTGAGGCGGGTAGATTACATGTAACTTTTTATTGCAAAAATTTTTCTGAATGATTTAACACTTGAAAAAATATAAATCTCCACACATACGTATACATAGTTCTGGTTTTCTGGGGTTTTTTTTTGTTCGTTTGTTTACAAAAAGAAATCATGTAAAATGTATTGTTTAGCTAGACTCTTTTTAACTTACTATATCATGAATATCTTCCCAAATCTGTATCTATACCCCAATTTCATTTATCTTAGTGACAACATATATTTTATTATAAGGCAGTATTTATTGTAGTTGTTGTTGTTGTTAAGTGCCGTCGAGTCGTTTCCGACTCATAGCGACCCCATGCACAGCAGAACGAAACACAGTATTTATTAGATCTCCCTATTAATAGATGTTTAGATTTTTTTTTCAGTATTTTGTTATTACAATAATACAATAAATACAGTTCATAGGTCTTTTGTCATTTGTATTGTATTTCAGTAAGATCTGTCCCTAGAAGTGAATTACATGTATCAAAAAATACATGCATTAAAGATCTTGATAAATAACACTAAATTGCCCTAAAAGAAGTTTTGAATTTTCTGCAATAAATGTGTGCCTTTAAGGCACTCCATTTTGTAATTACTTTTATAATCAGAAAAAAAAAAAATAAGATTTTAAAATAAAGGAATAAATGCTATGACTGGGGGGGGGAAGGGTACAGTGTGAAAAACAAACATGACCTCAGTGATATCTTCTATGAGCAATAATTTCTGATAAACCATTTAACAATTTTTCTTTGTTAATTCAAGTTTTTCTTTGTTCTTTTTAAGGAAGCTCTCACTGTCTACAAACTGCATTGAAAAAATCGCCAACCTGAATGGCTTGAGTAAGTGATCCACAGTAACAGATGGTTCTTGGATTTTCTGGTTATTGGAATAAACATTCCAGAGCTACTAAGTAATTCCAGAAGCTGGCACCTGTTTTAACCCAGTAATTGTCAGATAACAGAGAGAATATATAAACCATACGTCTTAAAATTTTATCATCCAAAGAAAATTAGAGATAGCATGAGACCAGAACATTTTAAAGCTTTTGTAGAGTTAGAATTGAGATGTCTTAAATAGAAAATCAGATTTCTTATTATATATTTCTTTGTTTAGATTTGTCTTTTGAGTGTATTTCAGACTCATTCTGATCAAAATTGAATTCCTCGCTGTTCCTATTCTTTCTGTGTTCCTTGTGTTAATGACATTGCCACTCTTCCAATTGACAAGGCCTTTGACTCCATGTATTAGTTTCCTGAGCTGCTATTACAAATTACTACAAACTGTATTCTTTGGTTAGTGGCCATATCACTCCGATTTCTGCATCTGTGGTCACATTGCCTTCACCTCTTCTGTCTTTGTCACATCTCCCTCTGCCTTCCTCTTGTAAAGATACATATGATTGCACTTAGGGCCCACCCAGACAACCCAGGATAATCTCTCCATTTTAAGATCCTTAGTTTAATAGCATCTACAGAGTACTTTTTTGCCATATAAGGTAACATTCTCAGATGCTAGGGATTAGGAGACGGTTATCTTTATTTATTTATTTAAATCCTTTTATCCATATCAAACCTGTCTCTTAATTGTCCTCCTATTTTCCCTTCTTTCCCTACCCCTCACATCCCTGGTAACCAACAAGGAAAATTTCCTTCCCTGTGTAAACCTTTCCTTGAGATTTTACAATAATGGACCCATATAATCTTTCTCCTGTGATTGGCTTATTTCACTCAGCATAATGCCCTCCAAGTTCATCCACATTGTGAGGTGATTTGCTGATTGTTCATTATTCTTTAATGTTATGTAGTATTCTAGTGTGTGCATGTACCATAGTTTGGTTATCCATTCATCTGTTGATGGGCACTTAGATTGTTTCCATCTCTTTGCTATTGTAAATAGTGCTGTGATGAACATGGGTGTGCATATATCTATCCATGTCCTGGGTCTCACCTCTTTAAGATATAGTCCTTGTAACAGGATTGCTAGATTAAATGATATTTCTATTTCCAACTTTTTAAGGAATCACTGTGGTAGTTTGGTTTGTGTGTCAACTTGGCTAGGCCTGGTTGAGTGGCTGGGCAGCTGGATGTAGTATTCCCCATGATGAGACTGGTAATCAACTCCATGGTGGAATCTACTGGGAGCAGCCTTTGGGTATGTGGTCTGCTTCCTATACATAAGAAGAAGCTTGAGAATGGTCTCTAGCATATGGCACACTTGGACCCTGCATGTAGCCATGTTCTTGTTCAGCAGCCTGCCATGCTTTGCCAACCTTGGGACTTAAAATGGACTTAAGCTAATGGCCTGCCATGTGGTCTGGTAACATCGGGACTGTGCCTTTTTACTTGTCAACCCTGGGGCTTCCTTTCTCAGCCGCAGCAGCCAGCAGCTGTTTGAGTGAAGAAATGCCTCTAGCTCCAGTGGACCGGGAGCAGGAGGCAGAGCTGGACCCCAAGGTTGAGGGGCTTTCACCCAGCCCCTAGAGCCTGGCACTTTGAACTAGGACTTAGAGCCTCCAAATTGTAACAATAAACTCCTGTTTGTTACGGTCATCCTATTTGTGGTATATTCTTGTCAGAGCAGCACTAGATAACGAGGACAATCACCATATTGTTTTCCACAGTGGATGTACCATTTTACAGTCCCACCAGCATTGTATAAAACTTCCAGTCTTTTTACACCCTCGCCAGCATTTGTTGTCTTCTGTCCTGTTGAACTTTGCTATTATTGCTGGAGTGAGAAGATATTTCATTGTTGTTTTGATTTTCATCTCTCTAATAGCTACTGATTGTGAACTTTTCTTCATGTGTTTGTTGGCTGCTTGAATATCTTCTTTGGTGAAGTGTCTTTTCATATCCTTTCCCCATTTTTGAATTGGATTGTTTGTCTTTTTGATGTTGAGGTGTTAAAGTTTTCTGTAAATTTTAGAAATAAATCCTTGGTTGGATATATTGTTGCATTTTATTGAAATATAATATATGTACAGTGAAATACACAAAAGTAAAGTGATATGGGTCAATTTTTTTTTTTTTTTTTGTGGCACATTGTTCCCTCCTCTCTCCTCCCATCCCTGGTAACCAAAAAAGAAAGTTCCTTTCCATATGTAAACCTTTCCTTGACTTTTTACAATAATGAACTAATATTGTATTTGTCCTTCTGTGATTGACTTATTTCACTCAGCGTAATGTCCTCCAAGTTCATCCATGTTATGCGGTGTTTTGCAGGTTCTGCATTATTCTTCAATGTTTCATAGTATTCCATTGCGTGTATGTACCATAGTTTGGTTATCCATTCTTCTGTTGATGGGCAAGTAGGCTATTTCCATCTTTTGCTATCATAAATAGTGTTGCAGTGAACATGGGTGTGCATGTATCTGTTCTTGTCCTGGCTCTCACTTCTTTAGGATATATATCTAGTAATGAGATTGCTGGGTCAAATGGTATTTCTAATTCTAGTTTTTTAAGGAATCACTTACAGTCCCACCAGCAGTATATAAGAGTCCCGGTCTCTCCACATCCTCACAAGAATTTGTTATTTTCTGTCTTGTTGAACTTTGCCATTAGTGCTGGGGCAAGATGGTATCTCACTGTTGTTTTGATTTGCACCTCTCTGATGACTAATGTTCATGAGCATTTCTTCATGTATTTGCTGTCTGCTTGAATATCTTCTTTGGTGAAGTGTTTTTCATGTTTTCTGACCATTTTTTATTTGGCTTGTTAATCTTTTTGTTGCCGAGGTGTTGGAGTTTTCTATAAATTTTAGAGATAAGTCCCTTGTCAGATATGTTATTGCTGAATATTTTTCCCCAGTCTGTAGGTTCTCTTCTTACTCTTTTGGAGAAGTCTTTTGATGCACGTAAGAGTTTAATTTTTGGAAGGTCCCAGTTATCTAGTTTCTCTTCTGCTGCTTATGCATTTGGGTTATGCTTGATTGTCTATTTATACCATAAATTAGGACCCTTAAGTTTGCCCCTGTTTTATCTTTGATAAATTTTATAATTTTGTGTTTTATGTTTATGTCTGTGACTCATCTTGAGTTACTTTTTGTCTATGGTGTGAGGTATGGATCTTGCTTCCTTTTTTTGTAAATGGATATCAAGTTTTGCCAGCACCATTTGTTGAAGAGACTGTCTCTTCCCCATTGAATGGGTTTCGGCCCTTTGTCAAAGATCAACTGCGCATAGGTGGATAGAGGAGACCAATATCTTTTGGGGAACTGTTACTCAGTTTGCCATACTCCCCTTCTCCATCCTTTTAAGTCCCACATCCATATTCATCACTAAGACCTGTTAACTTCTCTTTAAAGGAGCTTTCAAATAATTTGTTGCTTTTCCATTCCCAGCAGCTTCAGCTTTAATTTAGATCCTCATTATTTGTCTCTTATATCATGTTTTTTGAGTATTTTTGACCACTTTCATAGTAAGAAATACATTTGAATTCATAACTCAATATACATATTCATATACATATACATTATACACTTACATAACAGAAATTACATTTTGCAAAGCAATATTTACCTTTATAGCATGGGTTTAATTTTTTAAAATTCTACTTCATTTTTTAAAAAATGGTAGTCACAACTCACTAACTTGATTTCATAGCCTATTAATAGGTTATGACCCACAGTTGGGAAAATACTACTTTTATGAGTTTTGTAATAGCCTCCTAACTAATCTCCTGTCTCCTATCTTTCTGCTCTTCATTTGACCTTTAGAATTGACTCTTAACATTTTCTTCTAAAAATATTATTCTGACTAGCATTCTGCTTGACCAGAGGCTTTCATTAACAAGGACTTTTAATAACTCCCCTTTGCCTAATTGCATTCAAAGTTGCAGTCAAAGTTATCTAAAACCTTGTACCACCTTATCCATACCTAAACACACACTTTTTTATGATTCTTTGCAATTATTAATGCAGTGCTTTTCATTGAGACAACTCCTTCCTCTAACAGAAAAATACTGCAAGAAACAAAGATTAAAATGAAGACTGCCAAGCTTAAATGTGACCTTCTCTTTTTATTTCATTTAATTTATTTTTATTGTTACTAAAATTAGAACACCAAGGTTTCAGGACCTCCATGTGCTGACATGGCATGACTCAAATTGAGAAACAGTTGCAAACATCCATTAATAATCGGAACATGGAATGTACGAAGTATGAATCTAGAAAAATTGGACGTTGTAAAAAATGAAGTGGAACGCATAAAGATTGATATCCTAGACATTAGTGAGCTGACATGGACAGGTTTTGGGCATTTTGAATCAGACAACCACATGATCTACTATGCTGGGAATGACAAATTGAAGAGGAATGGTGTGGCATTCATCATCACAAAGGATGTTTCAAGATCTGTCCTGAAGTATAATGCTGTCAGTGACAGGATAATATCCATACGCCTACAAGGAAGACCCATTAATACTACATTATTCAAATTTACGCACCAACCACCAAAGCCAAAGATGAGGATATTGAAGATTTTTATCAACTTCTGCGGTCTGAAATTGATCGAACATGCAATCAGGATGTGTTGCTAATCATTGGTGATTGGAATGCAAAAGTTGGAAACAAAGAAGAATCACAGGTAGTTGGAAATTTTGGCCTTGGTGACAGAAGTATCACTGGAGACTGCATGATAGAATTTTGCAAGACCAACGACTTATTCATTGCAAATATCTTTTTTCAGCAATGCAAACGGCAGCTATACACATGGACTTCGCCAGATGGAGTACACAGCAATCAGATTGACTACATCTGTGGCAAGAAGAGATGGAAAAGCTCAATATCTTCAGCCAAAACCAGGCCAAGAGCTGATTGTGGAACAGAGCAAGTTCAACCTGAA